TCCCCGCACACACTCACAAGACCCCCGCGCCACCCGCCCTGTTTTGACAGCTGGGCAGGCCAACGTAATTTGTGACAGCTGAACTCAAACGTCTTTAACCGCAGAGCGAGGGAGACCGGCGAGGAGGCAAAGAGGCGGGCTCTTGGCATCGTCCCCCGCCCCCCAACAGGAAAAAACAAGAAGAAGATGAAGTTTGAAACAGTGATCAATGGCGGTTTGTTTGATCTGTGTTGGACCTTGCCGCATCGTTACAATTTGGTGCGTTGTGGTCAGCAGGCCTCCGCATTTGTTTGCAGGCATGGCTTCTTGAGCCCTTTTTTTTTGTGTGTGGCGATACGATTGAGACAGAAGTGAAACTGGACAAATGTGTTTGATTTTTTTCACAAATTCCAGGACCACGCTGGCTTTTGAAGGTAAATGGCCAAGATAAAAAGATCGCTTCAAAGCATCGTACGGTCGGCACTCACCGGAATTAGCTTAGCGTTGGAGGCGGGGCGGTCACAAACTATTCACGAGAATGAAAAAATACGACACGCTCTGTGAAAAAGAGTTTGGTATTTCCTGGCCAGTGGGTCAATTTTCAAAAGCTTTTGCCATTTTCCGTCGTGGAGCCATCTCCTATTGGCGGCTCAAAATCGAGACAGCCTGGAAGAAATCGCCAAAATGAGTGGAAATTTGGCATGGCTACGCTTCGGCGTTACGGCGCCACCTGCTGCGCTGGCATGCACTCGACAGCCACGCAAATGCTTTCTTTTTCCTTTTTTTGGGGGGCGGGGGGGGGAGATTTACAGGGCCGACCGCCGGTGTGGCCCACTCAAGTGAGTTTTTGCAAATAATGGCGTGCTAGGTGTGGACAGAGGCGAAGTTGAGCGCGCAACTTAAAGGCTGCCATCAAGACGCATAATCTCTCGGCTGAGCCCATTGAAAGCCGGGTCCCCGGGGTTAATTCTCCCATCAGCCCGCGTTTGAATCAACTCCTGACTCGCATTGAGATGAAAGCCGCCCGGGTCCTGCGGGGACCCCGCCCGGGCCCGGGCCCAATCGCGGCCGACCCGAGCGGATTATTGCATGCGGGACCTCCGTCGCGACAGCCAAACTGAAAAGAAAAACAATAATTAGAGATAATTGCTTGTGTCCAAACACCACGTTTTCAAGCCCCCTCCGTCGCCGTGTCCTTTCATGGCATGTGAGCTGGAATGAAAGGGACACCCCGTCCCCAACGCGCAAACCAGCAGCCCCCCCCCCCCCACCTTCCCCGCACACACTCACAAGACCCCCGCGCCACCCGCCCTGTTTTGACAGCTGGGCAGGCCAACGTAATTTGTGACAGCTGAACTCAAACGTCTTTAACCGCAGAGCGAGGGAGACCGGCGAGGAGGCAAAGAGGCGGGGCCCT